CCCCCAGTATTTGGGGTCTGTCCCCTCCCCCTCCGGGTATTTTGGTCCTTCCCGTGTTCCCCCCTTTCCCCGCGAATTTTGGTCTGTTCCCCCCTCTCGTTATTTTGGTCTCTTCCGCCCCACCCATTATTTTGGTCTCCCCCCCCGTTATTTGGTCTCTCCCGGCCCCCGGAAGTTGACGTCCCCCTCCGGAAGTTGATCTCTCCCGCCCCCGGAAGTTGGCCTCCCCCTCCCGGAAGTTGGTCTCACCATTCCGGAAACGCTCCGCATCGAACGGCTGCAGCAGCTCCCCCTGCTGGAGCGGCCCGTGCGGCGCGTGCGGGCCCCGCACGGTACCGGGGGCGGGGCCGTCCCCGGGGCGCATGCGCAGGAACAGCCCGCGGGGGGCGCTGCTGAGCAGGAGCCCCCGGCCCAGCTCCGCCCCCGCCGGAAGCACCAGGCGCGGCAGCGGCGGCGGCGCCCCCTGGCGGCCCGGAGGACTGAGCAGGTACTCGCCGGGAGGCAGCGCCCCCTCCCAGGCCAGGACGGGGCCACGGCGCAGGCGCAGCAGCAGCGCAGAGTCACCTGCAGGGGGCGCCAGGGGAAAGGAGCGGGGTCATAGCGGGGGCGGGGCCAAGGGAGTGTGGGGGTGGAGCCAAAGTTTGGGAGGTGGGGTCATGGCTGGGGGTGTGGCACAGGTGGAGGCTTTTGGGGGTGGAGCCAAGACTGGGTGGGGTCAGGGCTGGGGGCGGGGCTTGGGGTGTGGTCAGGGGTGGTGGCAGGAGGGACAGCAGGGCCACACTGGGGGCGGGGCCAGGTTGGACTCAGCTGGTGATTGGCTGGGGTGGCTCCTCCCCTTGGGGGCGGGGCTTACCGTCTGCAGGGGGGAGGGGCTCGGTGCTCTCCACCTCGATTTGCAGGGGCAGCACTTCCGGGGGCGGGGCCTCGGCTGAAGGGGTGGAGTCAGGCAACAGCCACGCCCCGTTGCCACACCCCCAGGGCCACCCCAGCCCCAGAATTGTCCCCCGGTCCCAATGACTGCCCCCCAACTCCCCCCACTCTCACCGGGGTCTTCGTCATCCTGGCTCCCCTCTGGGGTCTCAGGGGGTGGGGTCGGTGGGAGGGGCTCCGCGGGGTTCAGCCCCGCCTCCTTCTGGCTCTGCCGGCCCTTGGGGGGCTTCGGCTCTGTTGGGATGGGGCACTGAGATTGATTTGGTGTCTGAGCCCCCCCGGCCCCCCTTCCCTTGGAGCTCCTCTGTTTCTGTTCCCCCATCCTCGCCGTCCCCATTTTCGGGTACCCCCAGCCCCAACACCCTGCCCCACTCAGACCCCTCCCGGTTTGGGGGTTCCCCTCTGCCCCCTCACCCAGTCCCCTCCCACCATGATACCCCCAAAATTCATACCCCTCACCCCAATTCCTGTGCGTCCCCCGAATTTGGTCCCTCCACCCCCACATTCGCTGTGTCCCCCCCATGGCCGGTGTCCCCCCTTTGCCTCCCCCGCCCCGTTCGTCCCTCACCGCGGGCGGGCAGCAGCCGGTACACCCGGTAAGGGCTGGGCCCGTCCAGCCGGCCCCGGTTCTTCACCTCCCGGAACTCGGGGCTCCGGGCCAGGGCGCAGCGGAGCCGCGTCTTCCACCCCGCGGGGTCGGGGGGGTCCCCGGGCCGGAGCCGCCCCTTGTACTCCGCCCACGCCTGCCAGAGCCAATAGCGTCAGGGAGCTGCTGTGGCCACTCCCATCTCATTTGCATACGACAGACCCGCCCCTCAAAGCCTCACCCTGCACTGTCCCACCCCTCACCTGGCACTGTCCCCCCCTCACCTGGCCCAGCCCCACCCCTCACCTGGCACTGTCCCACCCCTCACCTGGCACTGTCCTACTCCTCACCTGGCACAGTCCCCCCCTCACCTGGCACTGTCNCAGAGCCGGCTCCGGGAGGCCGTGGCCAGCTTGGAGAGCAGGCTGGGAGAGCGGGAGCAGCTCCTGGAGCAGGTCAGGCCCTGGCCCTGGCCCTGTCCTGTGTCCCTGTCCCGTGTCCCTGTCCTGTGTCCCTGTCCCTGTCCTGTGTCCGTGTCCCAGAGCTGTGTCTGTGTCCCGTGTCTCTGTCCCTTCCTATGACCCTGTCCCTGTCCCCTGTCCCCACTGCTGTCCCTCTGTCCCCACCCTTGTCCCCATCCCTGTCCCTGTGCCACCCCTCTCTCTGTCCCATCCCTGTCTTCATCTCTGTTCCTCTGTCCCACCCCTGTCCCTGTCCCCATCCCTGTCCCTGTTTCCATCCCTGTCCCATCCCTGTCCCCCTGTCCCCATCCCCGTCCCTGTCCCCATCCCTATCCCTGTCCCACCCCTTTCTCTGTCCCATCCCTGTCCCATCCCTGTCCCATGGTCCCTGTCCCTGTCCCATTGTCGCTGTCCAACTGTCGCTGTCCCACTGTCGCTGTCCCATTGTCGCTGTCCCATTGTCGCTGTCCCATTGTCCCTGTCGCTGTTCCATTGTCCCTGTCCCTGTCCCACTGTCGCTGTCCCACTGTCGCTGTCCCATTGTCGCTGTCCCACTGTCGCTGTCCCATTGTCCCTGTCGCTGTCCCTGTCCCATTGTCGCTGTCCCATTGTCCCATTGTCCCTGTCGCTGTTCCATTGTCCCTGTCCCTGTCCCACTGTCGCTGTCCCATTGTCCCTGTCCCATTGTCCCTGTCCCACTGTCGCTGTTCCATTGTCCCTGTCCCTGTCCCACCGTCGCTGTCCCATGGTCCCTGTCCCATGGTCCCTGTCCCTGTCCCTGTCCCTGTCCCATTGTCCCTGTCCCATTGTCCCTGTCCCTGTCGCTGTCCCATGGTCCCTGTCCCATTGTCCCTGTCCCTGTCCCATTGTCCCTGTCCCTGTCCCACTGTCGCTGTCCCATTGTCCCTGTCCCATTGTCCCTGTCCCTGTCCCTGTCGCTGTCCCATGGTCCCAGGAGCGCCGCCGCGCCGTTGCCGAGCGCTGCCGGGCGGATTCCCTGCGGGAGGCGCTGGAGGAGCAG